CGGCTTAAATACATGAGTGCTGTGTAAGCCAGCAGGAAATGAGGGGGATCTGTGGTCCAATAAGAGTGCAAGGACACAGCTGTGGACCTGATACGACCCAACCTGGGAAGCATGCTGAACAAGGTTGTGCTGCTATAAGTAATCCCCCTCCAGAGAGTGACCTAAGTGAGTGACCGAAATACTATGATGTGTCACTTCAGCTGATTTGGTGCGGAGACAACTATGCCGAGCGAGGCAGCACCAGTGAATTATTCCTCTGAATTATTTTGTTTACTTGCAAATATGATCAGTTTTTTTGGGCATGACTTTCCTGCACTGTTCTTGACAAGACTGTATTGCAGCACCTCCCATATGGGCCTGATTTCCTGATGTTCTATATTAGATATATTTACACCATTTCTCATATTCAGTAATTGTGATGAAATATTTAACACAGTGGTGATTACATAACAATACAGTTGAAAAAGAATACCAACAATATTTCAAGCTAATGATTCCCATTTATCTCATACATCTGGCAACAGGTGCATGACTTTTGTCAGTGAATGTAATTCTCTCCCAAAGATAAATATAAATTTGACTAATATATATTTACCATTATCTAACAATTTTAACAATGACAATAATGATAAGAAAATAATAAGCAACAACAGAAAAAGAACAATACCTATAATAATATTAATAATAATATCAATAATAATAATAATAGTAATAGTAATAGTAATAGTAATAGTAATAGTAATAGTAATAGTAATAGTAATAGTAATAATAATAATAATAATAATAATAATAATAATAATAATAATAATAATAGTGATAGTGATAGTGATAGTGATAGTGATAGTGATAGTGATAGTGATAGTGATAGTGATAGTGATAGTGATAGTGATAGTGATAATGATAATGATAATGATAATGATAATGATAATGATAAAAATAAAAATAAAAATAAAAATAAAAATAAAAATAAAAATAAAAATAAAAATAAAAATAAAAATAAAAATAAAAATAAAAATAAAAATAAAAATAAAAATAAAAATAATAATTACTATGATTTCTATTATCATTATCATCATTATTATTATTATCATTATAGTAATAAAAATATATATACATTTTAATTATAATAATAATAATGATACTACTACTAATAATAATTATTATTACTATTATTATTATTATTATTATTATTATTATTATTATTATTATTATTATTATTGTTATTGTTATTGTTGTTGTTGTTGTTGTTGTTGTTGTTGTTGTTGTTGTTGTTGTTGTTGTTGTTGTTGTTGTTGTTATTATTATTATTATTATTATCATTATCATTATCATTATCATTATCATTATCATTATCATTATCATTATCATTATCATTATCATTATTATTATTATTATTTTTATTTAACACAAAGCATTTGATCTTCGCTTTGGAATATTCACTGTGAATGCGGGCACCAACCAGCTGCCAAAGAACTCACAGGTAAATGTCTGGCTGTTCCTATTGTCGAGTTCTATGCTGTTAGGCGGGCCACAACAAATGACCAAGGGCTACCAGCATCGTATCTAAGTAAGACAGATCCAACATTTGCAAATCCGCGCGTGTGCGTGTTTGCATTCACACACACACATGCACACACCGTACGTGTTTGCATGTGCGTGTTAGCATGAATGCACAAGTGCACGCGCACGGATTTGCAAATGTTGGATCTGATACTTTTATTATTACTATTACTATTACTCTTATTATTATTATTTTTATTATTATTATAATAATAATAATAATAATAATAACAATAATAATAATAATAATAATAATAATAATAATAATAATAATAATAATAGTAATAATAATAGTAATAATAATAATAATGATAATGATAATGATAATGATAATGATAATGATAATGATAATGATAATGATAATGATAATGATAATGATAATGATAATGATAATGATAATGATGATAATGATAATGATAATGATAATGATAATGATAATGATAATTACTATGATTTCTATTATCATTATCATCATTATTATTATTATCATTATAGTAATAAAAATATATATACATTTTAATTATAATAATAATAATGATACTACTACTACTAATTATTATTATTATTATTATTATTATTATTATTATTATTATTATTATTATTATTATTATTATTATTATTATTATTATTATTATTATTATTATAATAATAATAAAAATAATAATAATAAGAGTAATAGTAATAGTAATAATAAAAGTAATAATAGTAATACTAACAATAAAACAATAATAATAATAATAATGATAATGATAATAATAATAATAATAATAACTATAACAATATATTATTTTTTTATTATTATTTTTATTATTATTACTATTATTATTACTATCATTATTATTATTACTAGGATCATCACTATTATAATAAGAACAATAACAATAATAATAATTATTATCATCATCATTACTATTACTATTATTATCATTATTATTATTAT